TCCAGCCTAGAATTCTTTCGATTCCCTCCAAAATTTTCTGCCTAGAAATTCGTTTGATTCCCTCTAATATTCGATTCCCTCCTAATTTCTGCCCTAGAATTCTTTCGATTCCCTCCAAAATTTCTGCCTAGAATTCGTTTGATTTCCCTCAAAATTTCTGCCTAGAATTCTTTCGATTCCTCCAAATTTTCTGCCTAGAATTCGTTTGATTCCCTCCTAATATTTCGATTCCCTCCTAATTTCTGCCTAGAATTCTTTCGATTCCCTCCAAATTTCTGCCTAGAATTCGTTTGATTCCCTCAAAATTTCTGCCTAGAATTCTTTCGATTCCCTCCAAATTTCTGCCTAGAATTCGTTTGATTCCCTCAAAATTTCTGCCTAGAATTCTTCCGATTCCCTCCTAATTTTTGATGGTGGTGCGGGTGTGTTCTCATTTGTTCTCCCAAGCGGATCCGAAGCGCTGCGGCTACTGGATGGATCTGGTGGCGACAAAGGCCCCAACCTCTTTTTTCCGGACAGCGCGCCGTGTCAAGGTCTCGCGGAGGCGGTTCCAGGCACGCGGGGAGGCAGGCGCGCTCGCTCTCGGCCTCGTGCATTGCAGTCGCCGGGCTCGTCCTTATTCACGCCTTGCACGTACACTTGCATATCTATTTATAGTTGGGCATATATTTGTATTTGTATGTACGTTTTCACTTATACATTTGCACTTACACTTACACGTACATTTTCACTTACACATACATTTACACATACATTCACACTTATACATACATTTACACTTACACTTACACGTACATTTACACTTACACATACATTCATACTTACACTTACGCATACACTTATACATCCATTTACACTTACATTTACTTACACATACACTTACATTTTACTGATACGCATACTTGTACACTAACATCTACACCGAAACACGCACACAAACGCCCACAAACGCCCATGCGAAACCCCAGCCCCCCCCCCCCCCCAGTCCCTCCTCCAGTCCCTCACCAGTCGCCTTTCAAAGCACGTGTCTTGGGGCGAGATTTCTCTGTGGCAGATCTGCACAGAGGGAGAAGGAGGAGGACTCGAAACCACTGCGGGAATCTTGCCATTATGCAGTACTACCAGCTTCTCTCGCGCCCGCTGTCTGTATCTCTCTCTCTCTCCTCGCTCGCGCACGCAACCTTGACCTTTATGGGAGGGAGGACGTAAGGGTGAGAGTCTTGTGTTCGGTTGGTGTATTGGCGATAGGGGGGGGAAGGGCTAGGGGGATTGTGTAGGGGAAGGGAAGGAGAGGAAGTTTATGGGGAAGAGGTAGGGGTATAGGGAGGAAACAGAAGGGAAGGGGTAAGGAGTAAGGATAAGGGAAGAAGAGTGAGAAAGGGATGGGGAAGGGGAAGGGGAGAGGGAGGAGGAATCGGGTTCAGATGCGAGGTGTGACGGGAATTTCGACTCTCTGGTTATCATCGCGAAGGACTAATTTTCCATCTCGCGTCTTCCCTCCACGTTTGGGCTTGTTTGGTGTTCGAATCGGTGCGCGCGGTGTTGCCAGTGTAAACTTTGCGATGTGTTCGGGTGGGGAGCCCGGGGAGGGGTCGCTACATTCGCGGGGCAGGTGGACGCATGTGTGGAGGGAAAGGGAGGGAAGGAAGGAAGGATGAAAGGGAGGGAAGGAGGGAGGCATGGGTGAAAGGGAAGGAGGGATGGATGGGTGAAAGAGTGGGAAGGCAGGAAGGATGAGTGAAAGGGAGGGAAGGAAGGATGGATGAATGGAGGGAAGGAAGGAAGGTTGAGTGAAAGGGAGGGAAGGAAGGATGGATGAATGGGAGGGATGGATGAAAGGGAGGCATGGGTAAAAGGGAGGGAAAGTGGGATGGGTGAATGGGACGGATGGATGAATGGGAGGGAAGGCAGGAAGGATGAAAGGGAGGGAAGGAGAAAGACATGAAAGGTGGATGAATGGGAGGGAGGAGGGATGGATGAAAGGGAGGGAAGGAAGGGAAGGAGGATTAGATGAAAGGGAGGAAAAAGATGGAAGGATTAAAGGGAGGGAAGGTGGGGTGGGTGAATGGAGGGAAGGAGGGATAGTTAAAAGAAAGGGGATAAATGAAGGAAATGAGAGATAATTAATAAGAGAATGACGGATGCGTATTAAGAGGAAAAGGAGGATGAGAAGGAGAGAGAGAGAAAAAAAAACAAGGAGAACAGTACATAGATAACGAGAAGACAGCAGACAGGAAACGGAAACGTAAATGAAACAATAGAAAAAGATTAAACGATTAGACAACCGAACACGAACAGAGTGCAAACGAGAGAACAGAGGACGATTCAGCGACAGAAGGGATGGGATGATAGTGGTAGCAGGGAGGGCGAGGATGATGATGATGATGAGTGAGAGAGAGAGGGAGATGAGGTCAGGGCCGCGCCAGGCCGTCCGGAGTGCAGGTCAAGGGCGCGCTGGTCTGGATGCAAGGTCTCTGGTGAGTTGAGGGTAGGCCTATCGATTGGGTCTTTGGGGCTTTTTTTTTCGTATTGTCTGTTAGTTTGTCTCTCTAAATATTGTCTGTCTGTCTGTGTTGTCTTCTCTCGTTCTCTCTTGCTCTCGCTCTGTCTCTCGTTCACATCACTCTCTCTCTCTCTCGTTCGCTCTCTCTCTCCATCTCTCGTTCACTCTCTCTCGTTCACGGAGTCTCTCTGCTCTCTCCTCTCTCTCGTCGTCTCTCTTCTCTCTCTCTCACTCGCTCTCTCTCTTCTCTCTCTCTGCTCTCTCTCTTCCTCTCTGCTCTCTCCTCGTCGTTTTCATCTCCTCAGCTTCCAATCCTTGGCTTTTGGACGTTTGTTGCGCTTTCTTTTCTTAATCGTTTTATTTTGTTTTTATTTTTGGTTAGTGACTGATTTGGTTTCACCGGTCGTGTGCCTTCGTTGTTTTGTGTCGTTTGTTTTTGTTTCCGCAAATATCGTTTTCTATTATTTTTTTCTTTTTTCTTTTTTTTTTTTTTCTTTTGTTTTGGTCTTTTGTCTCGTCTTCTGTTCCTGCCCTTGATTCCCTTCATCCTATCCTCAAGTT